GAGCAAGGCACTTAACTCCCATCTGCTCCCTAAACAGGTCTCTGTTGAAAATGAGTTCTCGTGGCTCAAAGAGACGACCTGGATAAATAAAGGGTAAATAAAAAATGTCCTACAAGGGACACTAAGAGGCTAATCTTTTTAAAGGAACCAAAAGTCACAGCAGATATTTGTCTCTGCTTTTTAAAAATCCCCTTTTGGAAACAACCCGAGCGTGACTCAAACTGGAAGTTACTTCTCGTGTTCATTCAGCTGCTGCTGGAAATAAAAACGATCGGTTCACAGACTCCTGCGCACCAACTAAAACGCTGCTGGTTTGGGGGGGGGCCAAGAATCTCTTTATCTGCTGGTTTTCCTGTATTGAGTAAAGAGAGCAAGCCTTCTTGTTTCAACAAACTGAAGTTTTCTGACATGACTTCATTTAGTCGCACCCTCCAAGGAGATAACCATCTGAAACACTTCCTCTTTGTTCATGAAATGTTTCTGGTGGACAGCGTCAAGTTCTGTTTGAAGATACACGTCTAAAACGATCCGTTCATCCCTTCTTTTAAATCCACTTCTTATCTCCTGCTGCTACATGTGAAGGGATGACAATGCTTTTGCATGTGGATGTTGAACTATTTCATGCATTGTATTATTATTGGAACAATCTAAATATTTATTGGTTGTACAGCAACGAGGAGTCAATCCAAACGAAGAGCTAATCTAAAGAAGAAAACATAAAAATACTATAATTCAGTCAGTTTTACACATACTGGGTTAAATTTTGGGGCAGCACGGTGGCTCAGTTAGTAGAGCGGCTGCCTCTCAGCAAGATGGTCGCCAGATCAAACCCCGGTCCAGGGGCCTTTCTGGGTGGAGTTTGCATGTTCTCTCCGTGCATGCGTGGGTTTTCTCCATGTGCTCCGGTTTCCTCCCACAGTCCAAAAACATGCATGTTAGGCTGATTGGTAACTCTAAATTGTCCCTAGGTGTGATTGAGAGAGTGAATGGTTGTTTGTCTCGTTTGTCTCTATGTGTCCCTGTGATGGACTTGCGACCCGTCCAGGGTGTCCCCCGCCCCTCGCACAGTGATTGCTGGACATGGGCACCAGCGACCCCCGTGACCCAAAATGGAATAAACGGGTAAAGAAAATGGATGGATGGTAACTCTAAATTGTCCCTAGGAGAGAGAGAGAGTGAATTGTTGTCTTGTTTGTCTCCAGGTGTCCCTATAGACTGGAAACCTGTCCAGGTGTCCCCCGCCTCTCGCACAGTGATTGCTGGATATTGGCACCAGTGAACCGATGGATGGATGGATGGACGGATGGACGGATGGAACTTCTAAAGACTGTAAACAAGCCAACCATCCATCCAGGAGAGCTTCATCTTGATCTCCGTACGTGTGGCACGAGGAATGCAGAAAGTTTTCTTTCTAAGGCCACTCCTCTCAGGACGGTGCATCAGTGGTGAGTTTAAATCTACATCATCCTGTGATGCTCCTGCTGTCGCAGCTCTTGTTGGACCTACCTTCTGCTTGTAAGCTCAGGATTAACCAGAGAGGACCAAAGCCCACCTGCAGGTGGTCCACAGAAACCTGACGGCTCTTCAAGTAAGGAACTAGAATCCTGGTAAAGATTTCCTCGTCAGGCAGATTAAAACTAACCGACGTCTGGACTCTTCTCAGATTTAGGTCCCAACATTCCTTCAGGGAATGTTTATCACCTGCCTTTTTATTTTCAGCTTTAATTAAACATGTTTATGTTAAACATTAAAAACAGTTATGATCGATGCCGGAGTGTGGAATATGAAAGACTCTTCACTAAAACCACATCTGAGCTCAAACTCTGTGAAACTGGTTCAATTAAAGCCACCGCTGTTGTAAATATAGTTGGCTGTGGCAGCCATCTTGACAGGAGTTGACTTTAAAAGCACTCGGTTGCAGACAGACGTGCATTTGATCATTATTGTCTGTAAGGCTAATCCAGATTCATCCACCTCATATTTTAAGAAAAGACAAATGTCAAAAACATTATCGCCCGTTTTCGCCTTTCCGCTGGTGGGTGATAAGTGCTAAAATTGATCATCCGTTCATGTTAAAAATAAAAATCAAGGCCAGATTCAGCTCTTTTTTTATTTTATTTGTTTTTTGCTCTGAAACTTGTTTGTTGAGTCCTGAGGAATGTAGCAGCTGATCAAGAGCATTCATCTAAGATGGGACGATAATGGAGACGAAATGTCCTCATCTCACTGATGCAATCAGTTCCACTTTATTTATACGGCTCGTTTTAAACTCAAGGAAAGCAGAACGTGATATAAAAAGTAAAAACAAGAAATTAAAATGTTAAGAATGAACAAAACTAAATGAGTGCATTAAAGCCAAAAACAACAGAAGATTGAAACTAAGTCAAACATATCATAACAATGTAAATAAACTAGAGAAAATGCATTTCCTGCAAAATTGCAGTGTGAATGTTTATTGCTGAAGAACTTGCTGAAATGTAGCTGAAATGGAAGAACAAGACTAAGGTAGTAGAAGAAAGCAGAAAGAACACATATTTGATGAATTAGGTTTAAATAAGGAGAAATTAGCACGAAGATTAGCTAAAGAAAAGTCAAAATTGTTTTTTTAAATAGCTGAAAAGGCAGAAAAAAAGCTTATAAGCTGAAATTAAAGAAGTTAATTTACCTAAAAGTAGCAGAAATTACCACGAAAAACTTGAACTGAAAACATCAGAAATTAGCTAAAAAAAATGATCAAACTTAGCTGAAAAGGTAGAAAAGCTTAAATTAGAAGAAGAAAGTGGAAAGAGCACAATTTTGCCCAATTAGGCCGAAAGAAGCAGAAATGAGCACAAAACGTGGAAATTATCTGAAAAAAGCTGAAATTAGCAAACAACAGCTGAAAAGTAGCTCAAAAAGCAGAAAGAAACAAATTACCTGAAGGAAGTGGCAGGAGCAGAATTTTGTGCAAAAAAATTGGAATTAGATGAAAAAGTTATAATTAGCATAAATACAACTAAATATAAAATAGTAGCTGAAATAGCAGAAAATGTTGAAACGAGCAGAAATAAACTGAAAGGAGCATAAAACAGCTGAAATTAGCAGAAGTTAGAAGAAGCACAAAAATGCTGTAGTTAGAAACAGCAGAAAAAACAGCTGAAAGTAGCTGAAAAAAGTTTAAATTTGCATAAGGAAGCTGAAAGAAGCTGAAGCAGAACAAACTGTGAAAGGAGCAGTAAAATGCTGTAAACACGTCTAAAGATCTGAAGGATGGAAAATGAGCTCAATTCATTTTCTATGAGAACAAAATGGCAGAAAAGGCTAAATGTTTCAAAAAGCTAAAGCTGCACCACTACCAAAAGTGAGAGCAGGCTTGTCCAGAAAGAACCGAACGTTTTGATTTATGACTTGTTGAAATAGCTGAAAACCGTGGGACGAGAATGGAGCTGAAAATCTATGGCAGAAAAACGGAGCACAACAGATATTCAGATTATTGTCGACCATAAACTGGTTCACAAACTTCGCCGTAACAAGCGAGGAGAGCGTTGCTGTCAAAGACAGGAGGCCGGTTCCTGAAAGCTTTCTGTGTGTTGCCTTCAAACGTTCAGCGCGTGAACAAGTAGAAACCAGTTGTGTGTGTGTGGGGGGGGGGGGGGGGGGGTCCCTCTTAACGTGTTGCTGCAAGAATTTTCTGTCAAACTTTGGTAAAACGGAGAACAACAAAACTGTTCTGAAGTATTTTAACTACAGGTAATGTGTTTATTTTGGGCTTTTGTGCAAGTGAGCCAAATAATAAATCTGTCAGTGTTTAATAGACAACTTCATGATTTCAGCTGTTTAACATCTTTACAACACAGAGTTCAGCAGCACGAGCCAAGTTGCTGTTTGTTTTGAGTTGAAGCTGAAGACATCTTAAACAGACTGATTCTAGTCTTCTGCCTTTTTGTCCTCCATCACAGAGCAAAGAGGGGAAATTGGAAATACGCTCCGTCTGTCCGTACGTGTTGCGAGAATGATAACTTGAAGAATAAGTGACGTACCGACTTTCATTTAGATGTGTGGTTACGTCAAGGTGTGATCGAAAGTTGGGTTGCAGCGCAAAATCAAAGATGGCCACCATCACATATATTTATGTAACATCACCCTTATCGTTGGGGAAACTTTGCTTTTTAGGTTTTATATTGCTTAAAAGTATAATTTCCTCAAATGGTTGGGGTGGCCAAAGATCCATTTATGGTGGCCAAGGCCACTGTTGGCCACCCCCTGGCTGCACCACTGGGCCTGCTGGTGGGTTAGATTGCTTTGTCAGGATCTGTCATTCCACTCTGGCTCAGACTAGCAAGAAAAAAAAACTATTTCTGTCCTTCTCCACAGTGTAACTTCTACCCACTTTAGTATCTGTCACCAAAAACATTTAGGTTTACTTACATTCCCTGTTCAGTTCCAGTTTGAATCCCTCAGTGATGGGGGACATCGATGTACTGTTAGCTTTTTAATCTACCTTAAATTGATTCAGATAAAAACATGATGTTCAGTTTTACAATGACTCAAAAACATTATAATCCCTCTGCACTACATCTGGATAATCTCCAATAGATCAGTGCTGTTTGCTGCCACTTTGGAGTAAAAAGGACACTAAAATCTCGTTGAAGCTTCTTTTTATGGCATGTGATCAGCAGGTTGTTTTCACACTGCGACTCGTCTCGTCTGTATATTTTCACACTCGTCTCCTCCTGACCAACAGTTTGGGCGTGGTCATGGCTGAGACTAATCCACAATAAATGCTCTGAGGGCTAACTGATCACATCCGATCTGTGTTTAAAAGTTTACCATTAACTATTGGTATCAAGTCTGTTAGCGATATCTCATGAACGGCATCGACCTAGGTTTAAATGTAATCTTTCATCTTTAGTTCTTCACAACTCTTTAAATTTCTGATCAAATACTCGCTCAAACGTGTAAAAATCACTTCATGAACAAACTGCATCCATAAAACTAAATCTGCCTCTCTTCCCACAGACATGAGAGACAGACTAGAGAAGCTTCAGCGTGTGCAGACAGACTCTGAGGGTTTCAGCGTTGTGGAGCTCAACAACCTGTCAGAACATGAAGCAGCAGCTGGACCCGACCAGGACCTGGACGACATCCTGCAGGAGGCCCAACGACTACGTCTGGAAATCCAGCAGATCCAAAACGACATCCGTGAGCTCAGGGATGTGAACTTCCAGGCTCTGAACGGGACTTCGTTCCCTGCTGTGACAAAGCGGGACTCCAATGCCATTGGTGCAGACATTAAGCGCAGAGGAGAGGCTGTGCTGCAGCAGCTGCGTGCTTTGAATGATCTCCAAGATGAGCTGGAGGCCCAGCGTGGCCCCAATGACCCTGCAGCACGAATCGCTCGAACACAGTACCACTACCTGAGCAACGCTTTGCGGGAGGTTATGTTTGGCTACAACGACGCAGAGATGAGCCACAGGGAGGCCTGCAAACGGCACATCCAGCGGCAGATGGAGGTGGTGGGCACCAAGGTCACCGAGAAGGAGATCGAGGAGATGATGGAGGTTGAGGAGTTGTGTGTGTTCAGCATCAATGAGACAGGAAAAACTGCGTCTTCTGCCCTCAAGCAGATTGAGAGCAGACACCAGGAGCTGCTGGAGCTGGAGACCAGGGTCCAGGGGATCCAAGAGCTTTTCCTGGACGTGGCGATGCTCGTAGAAGAGCAGGGGGCAGAAGTTGACAGCATCGAGAAAAACGTCCAGGATGTTACAGTGAATATTCAGAAAGCAAATATTGAAATAGAAAATGCCACAAAGTCTGACAAAAACAACCCGTTTAAGAAGATGTTTTGTGGCTGTTTCCCATGTTATTACAATTAAATCTGAAAAAGTTGAGACGTTGTGTAAAATGGAAATAAAAACTAAAATGCAATGATTTGTAAATCTCATAAATCATGTTTTTATTCACTATGGAGCATAGAACATATCAAATGTCTAAAAAGAAATGGTACAATTATAAAGCAATAAAAGATATTTTTAAATTTGATGGCAGAAACACAAACATTGTTCCAAGCTCGTGTTTTTTTCCGCTAAGCATCCCCTCTTCTTTGAACTGCAAACGTCAAGGACCTGAGGAGTCCAGCTGTTGGGAGTTTTTGGAGGGAATGTTTTCCCATTCTGGTCTGATGGAGGATTCTCGCTGTTCAACAGTCAGGCTCATTTTCACAAAATGTTGTAATTATATTTTTTCATGATGCATCAAACGTTTTCTACTGGTGGGAGTTCTGGAGTGCAGGCAGGTCAGATCAGCTCCCAGACGTTTCTACCATAGACGTCGCAACAATTATATGTGGAGGGAACGTGTCCTCTTCCTCACTCACATTTCAAAAAAAGTTCATTCAGACATTTACCGTACCTTGAAATCCTAGTTCATCCAGCACTCCACACCACATGCAGTGTTTGTCCTCGATCATCTGCCCTGGCAGGGCGCTCACAGGGGGAGACACCTCTGTGTTGCACACTAGCTTAGAACTACCTGGCAACCTCGGATGGGTTGAGGGTAATGCGATTGTTCTCTCAGCGTGTGACGCTGTGGCACAGAAGATGAGACGCACACGTTGAGCTTTAATTAGCATCTAACAGGAAGGTTTATTCTTCTTCTGTGTGTGAACATACTTCATATCAAATACTTCAGGTATCACTGAGTAACTGCAATAAATAGTCCTCAGATTCAGTAAATCAAAAATGGCCATTTTAAACCGAACAGAATTATTTTAACATGCTCCATTTAACATGAATTTATCACATGACAAAATCTATTACAGATGGCTTTTAATTCTCTAAACCAATTACAGTTTTTTAATCAATGCTTTAACTCCCTTTTTTGTAGACCTGTTGTATTTTTACCCATTTTCATTCTGCACAAATATACTTTAATATTTAAGTATTATAGCTTTTAACTGTATCCATTGTTAACAGAAGCAGCTTTTGTCTTAACACAAAAAACTCTAATCTTTGACTAGAACAATAAAAAGGTGCAATGCTCCTTAAATGCTGTCTCTCTTTACTAAGCTTCACACATGCAGCCACTCAAAGTCATAACAAAATATCAAATATCTGGTTTTTGCAATAACCCATAAAGAAATGTCCATTTTACAAATAAAGAGACCGAACAATGTCCTTTGTGTGTGAACAGTTTCAAAAAGTGCAAAGTGAATTCAGCAGTCCTGTTGCTCAGCTTGCTCAACACATAAACAAAATCCAATAAAAACAAAACAAAAAAAAACATAAACAAAATCCAATAAAAAATAAATTAATTAAAAAATTTAAAAAATCCGCTAGCATTAGCATTAATTAGCATCCGGAAATGTGTCGTTTTCTACACAATACTAATCAGAAACAGCATAACATGACACACTATTTGCCTCTAGATTCAATAACTTCTTCAACACTTAAAAGTAGACAACATATATGCATTAACATACACATTTACTGACCTGTGACAGAAAAGATGAGACGCGTTAAACGTCCATTAACATCTAGCATGAAGTTTTATTCTTCTGCGTGTCCGGTCTTTTCTACGTCACCAATGCGACAGGCGCCCTCTAGTGGTTGTATGCGGAATCGCACTCAATAATTAAAATAACACTAAATCACTTATTACAATGAGAAATGAAGAGTAAAAAATAAAAATAATGCTGCGGTGCCTAATTATATAATGTGTTTTCATTTACTTATTACAACTTGTTTTTCGCCCCTCTACATTACCGCTATGTTAGTGCTGGCAGTTGTTGATTGGGGGAAGTTGT